GGCCCACCCGGCCGGGGTTGGTGGCGGGGGGGGGGGGGTGGCTGCTTAGAGCTGGGTATTCGGCCCAGGTGTAGGGAGGTGGGAGGCAGCCCTACACCTGTCCCCAGAGCCAGGTGTTCCCAGACCACAGCTCTCTTTCTGGGGGTCTCTAGGGCCCCCACCTCACTTCCTCACCTGTGGCCAGGAGAGGCTAGGTAACAGGCAGGCCTGTTGAGTGGAGTGCCTGAGCATCAGTGCTGCAGACCTCAGGGACTGTCTTCCCACCAGCAGGACAGCCGTCACAGACAGTGAACAAATGGGTGAAGGCACCTGTATTTCAATCAACTATTTGGGGCATGGGATTTGAACACCAAACAAGCTTGGCTTTTTCCAGAATTTCATTTTTCTTTTGACTTGTTTTCAACTGTAAAAATTAAAAACCATTCTTAGCTGGCAGGCTGTACAGGAACCCATGGCAGGCTGGGCGTCTGGCACCCCGCCCAGCCCATGGCACCTAAGTGCAAGGGGGTCCTGTCCTCCACACTAGGGACTCACCTGTGACCCCTGCCCTCTGCTACCCCTATGTGACAGCATCCTGTGAGGCCAGAGAAGGGCGGCCATGTGTGCACTCACATGACTGGGCTGGTCTATCATCGAGGGCTTTGTACGCCACATGCCTGGACTTACCCGAGCCCAAGCTGTAGAGGAGGCAGCCGTGCTTCCGGAAAAGTGACCAAGCCTTGGCTCCTCACCCCGTCTTCTTGTCCCCCTTAGTCTCCAGCTGGTGCCCCCCACTGGTCTAGCCTGTCCCTTCCATTTCCTCCTCTCTGCAGCCTCAGGAGACCCCATTTCTCTGGACACTGGAGCTATGACCCTCAGGAGGTGACCCAGGGGAGAAGGGATGCAGGCCTATGGTCCTCCAGATGAGAGCCCCCTCCAAGGCCTTGTGGCATCCCGAATTGAGGCCTATGGAGGTCGGCACCGGGCCTCTACCCAGAGCACTGCTGGCAGGCCCTGTACCCCAGTGGTAAGTTCAGGCAGTGCCCCAAGGGTGACCTAGATGGGGTGAGAGGGAGGACTCAGTTTTGAAGTCGCTGTTCCCTTACAGGTTTACCAGCAACTCTGTTCTTGTCCCTCATCATTCTCCTCCTTCCTGGGCTGTGGCTCCCAGGACTTCATATCCAGGTCCCAGATAGTAGAGGCAGGAGAGGCAGTGATGGGTCAGCTGCCCATGGAGGGGGTGCCGCAGGGGCTGCTGGGAGACAGTTCTGAAGCACAGCGCTGCAAGAAACACACCTCCCCAGTCCCACCTGAATTTGGGGAGAGCTGAGGGCTCCCTGAGATGCACCTCCCTGTCAGGACTGAGGAAGAGCAAAGGCTTAGGGTTTCCCTTGCAGGGAAGGGCTGCTGGGCCTGTCTCAGCTCCACCCCCAGCTCCACCTGCCTGGCCCACCTCCAGCCCAAGGCAGGAACGGGTGTGGAAGCCTGGAGCTCCCTTGGCCAGCCTGGAGGACAGTCCCGCCTGCTGTGGGGTATCCCCGGCCTCCTGAAGGAGGAATTGGCCCTTGGACATGGGACCCCTCCCAGGCAGAGGGCAGAATGGGACACTAGGAGGTGTGGGAATTCAGCTGGAGGAATGTGCCTGGGCCTGACCTGGGAGGAGACTTGCGGCTGTTCCCTGAGCTGTCACAGGAAGGGCAGCTGCTCCCAGCCGGAAGGGACACAAGCCTCGGGCCCTGAGAAAGGCTCTTCGTGATGTGTGAGGAGGGTGGGCTATGGGCAGGGGGCCATGAGAGACTCTGAACACAGCAGGCCATCGCAGGGTTCCTACAGGCCTGAGGGGCAGGGAACACTGGGCAGGTGGGCAGACACAGGGCACAGCCGGCCAGGCGCAGGTGTGCCTGTGCCACTGCTCTGGAGAGGCCACTGCCCCTGCCCTGCACCTCTGGGAGGCCAGCTAGGCCTGCCCCTGCAAACTCACCTCCCTCCCTGGAAGGAGCAGCCATGACTCAGGGCCACAGAGCCACACCAAACTGGTCTGAGGGACTGGTGAGCCGCCCAGCCTGTGTGTGAGAGGGGAGAGTGTCTTGGGCAAAGCCAGGCCCTTCCGGTGTCCCCAGAACTCCCCATTCCTCCCACAGGAGCAGGGTCGCCACTACTTCCAGCACTATGTCCCCTTTGCCAAGGGCCCCCTGTACCCCTTCGTGTCTCGAGAACCAGAGCCTGAGAAAAGGCATGGAGTGCATTTTGCAGTCGGTCCACCTCACTCCCCCAGGCTGAAGGTAAGGGTCACTCTGCTGAAGCCCATGGTCCAGTGGAGCCCACCTCGCAGACAAAGGGCCCAGCGAGGCCCCAGGTGGGAGAAAGTAGAGGCTCTCAGGTCTCTGCCGCACTAGGCGTTTGTGTGGTACGCAGCGCTCCAGGCATTTCCATGCACTCTGAAGGAAAGGTATTAATATTAAATATTCAGCTTTCAGAATAACCACATAATGTGCAAGCCAGGTGTGCCCACAGCATGCCCAAGCCACGGCTCCTACAGAGCATCGGGAACACCTGTCACTGACATCATTTAGTACCAGAAAGCAATGATAATATTTGAACCACATTGCTTCACAAAAATGTCTGTTTTGCTGGGTGTGGTGGCACGCCTGTAATCCCAGCACTTGGGAGGCTGAGGCAGGAGAATCACCCCAAGTTTGAGGCCAGCCTGAGATACATAGCAAGACCTGCCTAAAAAAAAAAAGAGTCTGTTATATGCACAAGTGTCAAAATGTCACCCAAGTCCATGTTTCCTAAGTCCCCTTCTGGTCTCCACTTGGAGGCCCTTCTGAAGAGTCTGACTTTTCTGAACCTGAGGCCCCTTTCTGCTCCATGAGCTCCTGTCGGGTCTAAGATGCAAGGATCTTTCTGCAGACTGAGGTGCCTGTCCAATTAGGTTCCAGCAATGCCCACTTCCCGGGGAATCCAGCCAGGGTGCCCCTGTGCCCTCTGAAGTCACTCTGTGCTATTACACACACACTCACACTCACACAGCCCTCCCAGAGCCATGCTGGCTGGGTGCTGAGGATGTAGCCGGCCAGCCCCTTCTGGCTCTTCCAGGAGGTCACCAAGGCCCGGGAGCTGGAGAGGCGGCTGCACACCTTCAGCATGTTCGGGATGCCGCGCCTGCCCCCCGAGGACCGGCGGCACTGGGAGATCAGTGAGGGCGGTGACGGCAGCCTCCACGTGCAGCGGTCCTGGAGGGAGCTGGTGACGGGGCACAAGGTGGGCCTGCGGCGGTGTCTGTCGCCACGGTGAGACCCACACCTCCCTGGGGTCTCGCTTCTGCCCCAGACAAGGAAAGGGCACGGAGGGGTCAGGTGGGAAGAGCACCAGAGACACCCGGACCCAGTTCAAATCCCAGCTGTGCCACAAGCAAGGCTGGAGGACTGGCTTAGGGCTGGAAGGCCGAGCACAGAGCCTTTTACAAACGCTCCCTGCCACTGCCGTCCTTCCCCACGTGAACCGTTACTGTCCTCCCCAGGAGATGAGTCGGGGGCTCTGCCACCAGCAGGAGGCCCTGTGGGAGCTGCTGACCACTGAGCTGAGCTATATGAGGAAGCTCAAGATCATGACTGATGTGAGCCAGGGTCCACCCAGCCCCACTCTCCAGAAGGGCCTGGGGAGGAGGGCAGGGCCCCAAGGACCCGGGGGCGGGGGGCCAGGACGGAGCCCTCATCTGTGTCCCGCCTCCAGCTCCTGACCGCCGGTCTGCTGAACCTGCAGCGGGTGGGCCTGCTGAGAGAAGTGAGTGGGGCTCGCAGGGCAGCCAGACATGGCGGGTGGATCACGGGGAGCCTCCCAGGCGGCCCAGTTGGAATCCCCACCACCCCATTTCCTGGGACACCCCTGTCCCTCCTGCCCTCCATGTGCTCCCGGGATGCTGCCCATGGGTGGAAAGGGAATCCAGGTCCCTTGTGTTTTCCGGCAAGCCCGCCCCATGCGGTGACCAGCAAAGGCTTGCTGCTGAGCTCCACCCCTCCCCAGGTGTCCGCAGAGACCTTGTTCGGAAATGTTCCGAGCCTCATCCGTGCCCACCAGAGCTTTTGGGCAGAGGTGCTGCTGCCGTTCCTGGAGCAGACTCGCGCCTCAGGCCAGCCTCTGGACCCCATCACGCTGGAGCACGGCTTCCTGATGGTGAGCCTGGGGACACACAGGAGGGCAGGGCTGGGGAGCCCATGGGACTCAAGTTGAATCCTGTCCCAAGAGTTCGACCCATCCTTCCAAGGCCCCAGTGAGAAGAGGGCTCAGGGTGGATGGCACCCACACTCTGGTCAACTGTAAAATTGAACCCTTGGTCAGAAATCCATCAATGACAGCCGGGGTGAGGCTGGACCTAAACCAGGGGACCTGGGGCATGGAGCATGGAGCATGGAGGAGGGTGATGAGCAAGAGCCGCAGGCAGGGCCAGCCTTCCTCCATGGTGCCAGCCACAGGGAAGATGTGGTGGGCAGCAAGGGGAGTCTCCCGGAGTCCTGGCACCGCTCCTGCAGAAGCAGGCTCCTGGGCAACCCTCAGTCACAGAAGTAGAAGCGCTCGCGTCCTAAAAACAGGCTGAATTATTGATGGGGGAGAGCAAGAGCCAGTCAGCAGGCACAGGGCAGCCTGGGTCCACCCTGCCTCAGAGCTCCCTGGAATGCAGAGAGGATCCTGGCCCATGGGAGGAGCCTAGGGGAGAAGTCCAGGGAGTGGGTTCCCTGAGGGGGCTCTGGGAAGTTCTGCCACCCTCTCCCTTGACCTGCAGTCTGCACTGTGCCCTCTGCCCGGCCCTTTACCTGTCCCCAGTTTGGCCAGCGGTTCCAGCCCTATGTCCAGTACTGCCTGAGAGTGAAGCAGACCATGGCTTACGCCCAGGAGCAGCAAGACACCAACCCGCTCTTCCACATCTTCGTGCAGGTGGGAGGGGCCCGGGGAGCCATGGGTGCACCATCCGGGGTGGGCAGCCAGGGCCGCAGTCACCTAGCACCCCACTCCCAACAGTGGTGTGAGCAGCACACACGCTCCGGCCGGCAGACACTGGGCGACCTGCTCATCAAGCCCCAGCAGCGCATCACCAAGTACCCACTGCTACTGCGGGCGGTGCTGAAGAGAAGCCCCGACAGGCGCGCCCAGGAGGCCCTGAGCACCATGGTGGGTGCCCGGGGGCTGGGGCTGGGGCTGTGACTCGGAATGGGAACAACACCCAGGGGTGCTCAGGGGACTGGCTGCCCCCCCCAGATTGCAGCCGTGGAGTCGTTCCTGCGGCACATCAACAAGCAGGTGCGCCAGGGCGAAGAGCAGGACAGCCTGGTGGCTGCAGCCCAGCGCATCGGCCCCTACGAGGTGCTGGAGCCACCCAGTGAGGAGGTGGACAAGGTGAGCGGGGCTCAGGACAGCTGGCGCAGAAATGCCAGCTCCAGGGCGCGTGCAGAAGGTGTGGAGGTCTGCACACCCTGTCGGGGTGCTGCAGAGGGTGCCCAGCGTTCCTGGCAATGTGGGGGGTCTGGGGATGGAGTTTAGGAGACTCGGGAGAGGGCACTGGGCTCTGGCTCCAGGTGGGAAGGGCAGGAAGAGAAGGGGCACGCCCGCCTGTGTCCCTCAGAACCTGCGTCCGTTCTCCACCCTGGACCTGATGTCGCCCATGCTGGGGGTCTCCCCAGAGCACATCCGGCAGCTGCTGCTGGAGGGACCCGTGCGGATGAAGGAGGGGCGAGACGGGAAGGTGAGTGAGCCGTGCTGGGAGTGAGAAGACGAGGACATCGGGGGGGGGGGGCGG